AAAAACAAAAAAACAAAACCAACCAACCAAAAAAAAAAAAAAAACCAAAAAAAAACCAAACCTCAAAAACAACAAAAAAAAAGAGAGACTGAAAATTATGCACTTATCTGTATTTTATTATCTTTTAAGATTTCAACAATTGCAGTTGCAGTACTGCAAGGGACACAAATGAGGAGCACAGCTTATCTGTTCAGTGCTGTATATTCCAGGAGCCTCCTGTGATGTAGACTGTACCCAATTTTATAAACACATTGCCTCATATTCCAACATTCTAAATTCTCCTTTTTTGCAGCACACAGTGAAGCCTACAAATCCAGATCCCCACCCTGAACCCTCTGCCTTGGATCTGCAAGTGTAAAATGCAACAAACACTGAGTGAAGTAGCTCGGTACACGTCCCACATCTGCACATGCAGATTCTATACTGCAATGTCCCTCTCACTCCACTCATTTTAAAAATAATTTACAATTTTTATGTAGCCACAGCAACATTTTAATTCTCCAGGTGGCCATGCAGGGTCACTTTCTCAATGGCAACCTCTCTGGAGTCCCTCTGCTATAAATCCCAAGAAAATTACCAAAAGCCTTTTTGTCTTGCTTTTCTTTTTCAATATTTTTTCCGTGCTTTCCTTTTTTTGTTTGTTAGAGGAGAATTCAGCAGTATCCTGTACTCTGTGTATATTGTTTTGAAATTAATGCATATAGAAACTGTACACAAACATTCTGCACCTGAAAAGGCAGCAGAAAGCAGCCCAGCTCCCCAGCCTTCAACTGCAGGTGTTCATGTACCAACACTGCGTTGCTGAACCAGCATCTCCTGCTCTCGTGCCTTGAGGCTGACTGTTACCAATAGCAGGTCTCTGTGGCAGATAAAGATTTTGAACAATGAAATAATAATAATGACAATAGTAATAATAATAATAATATAATTGAGAAATATTTTTCCTTTCTCAGCTCTGCTAAAGATATAAAGCTTCTCCCCTGTCCTTACTCATTTCATTATCAAAACAAAAAAAATGATAACACACATCACTCTTTTCTCTAACTGCTTTACAATTCTTCATGCCTTTCTGAAAAAGCACACCCTTGTGCTGAACTTCAGTAAAGTAGGAGCAAGCAATTCCATTGTGTACATATATTAAGCTCTGGACAGGCTGAACTATTGACCTCCTTTGCCACTAAAATATCAGTTAATCATAAAACTGAGCTGTGAGCTGTTACTCACAAGCAGCAGCCAACATAAGAGAACAACTTCTAATTTAGAGTTGAAAAAGAAGGCTAAGTGGACAATTTTAGATTATTACATATTTTCTACACCCTGCCCTTCTCCTCCTACCCCCTCAAGGGAAGAAAGGCAATAACAACTCAGAGGATATGCTCAGAACTACAACACACTCCAGAGCCACAGAAAACAGCCTTAAGGATTACTTCTGGTTAAAGTGTTACTCTCTGCCTTTTGTTTTGGTGTTAGAATCCTGGAGAAGTGAATAATCTGAGCAATGACCCCAGGCAAGAGGCAAAGTCAGAATTAAATAAAGCTCAGGTGCCCTGTGAGGACCGAGGCAATACCCTTCAGCATTAGCAGCTGGGATCACAATACCTTGGCCATATCGTCGGTGGTGCTTAGAAGAGGAAATAGCAAAGCACACACCTGGTTCTTACAAAGGATAAAGTAAGAAAATAGTGTTTTGCTTCAGATGCTTCAGACTTCAGTAATTTAAAAATGACTCAATGGTTTCACGCATTTGATCGCTCAGCACTATCTTTAATCAGACTGATAAAACAACACATCTAACAAAATGCCTTCACTTCAGCACAGGAAATATTACCTGGGAAATGCTGAGTAGACAAACAGGCTGTCAGAGGACTTAACTAGTGGAAGAATTATCCCTTCATTAAAGAACAATTTTGTTTCGTATTAGTGGAAACATTTAGTAAATGAGTCACCAGACTCTAGTTTTGCTATAAGGAAGACAGAAAATGATCTAAATACCTAATAATAAAAGTGCATGTATGGCAATGAGGTAAATATGATCATCATTCAAATCACTAAGGAGTAGAATACATCTACAGCAAAGCAGAGGACAACTGATCAATAATATGTTATTAAGAAATAGCATTAAATGATAAATATTGAATGAATTATGGGGGGAAAGTATTTTGAACTTCATTTGAAAATAATGCCATTATTTGCTTAAGTATTAAACAGAGAGAAGAATGCTAGCTTATTCTCATTATTTTTTCTGCCAGTTTGCTGTTGCTACTACTTGGAATGCAAACTTTAATCCTTACAATCTCATCAGATCGACGTTCACTAATGCACACTTTTTAATCTGTGTAGAGAGCAAACTTCATGTTAAAAATTAATTTATTTCCCACTATTCCATCTGATACTGAGCAGATAATCAATGATAACTTGTTTCAGAATTTGAACTACTATGTATAAAACTTATGGAGAAACAAAATTGACAAAGAACACTGACAGAAAAGGGAGTATCTATCTGAAAAATAAGTGAGCTTGTCAGAAATGAGAATTAGGAATAATTGAAGAAACTCCAGAAAGAAGATATTGCTGCAGAGATGTTATCTAATATAGCACAGTAAATCATTTGCCAGTCCCTGGTACAATACCAGCAGCAGCAGAGACTGCAGGGTGAGATATTCCATTATTACCTTTGCCTTTTCTTATAAATCTTCTCTTTGGAAGAGACTAATTTTGATGTTTTTAATTGGCCTTTTACAAGCAAAATATCAGTACATACAACCAGAAAAACTCATATTGATGAGGACTTGCAGTTATCTATCAGAAGCCTTGGGAAAACACTGCAGAAAAGGAAGGTCTGTCTCATTTTCCAAACAGGTGAGAAGGCAGCAGGGCATTCAATCTGGATCTGTCCCTGACTCATCCCTGATGCTGGGCACAATATTTCAGTTTTCAAAAATCTTTGCTGACACACCTTCTCCTAACTGAAACTAGCTAACAGTAACAATTATTTGCCTTCACTTTAATGGAATAAGAAGAATCAGTCCTACTGCAAGGTAAACAGCTTGAAATGTTATTATTATTAAAATAATGTCACAAAGTTCAGAATTTTCTGCACAAATATTTTTTTGATCTGCTTAATTTCACAGTGGATTAAATTGAGTTGAATTTTTTTCTCAAGCCAGACTAGATTTTGGAGCCTTACATGTGAACTTTATGTTACAAAAAAAATTAAAAATAAAACCACACCCACAACAACATTATTTCCCATAAGAGGTTTCTAAAAATATGCCACGTAATTCATTACTTCTTTTCCCACTAAAAATCTTTACTCTGTCACAACCTGGGTAAATTAAGTTACATTTTTTCAAGTGCTAGGAAAACAACCTGAACATTCAAATTGTTAGTCTCGGCTCAGCCTCTTTAAAACAGAAGCAGATTTCTAATTCCTACTTTTTCAGAAGAATGTCTAAACCAATTCTGTGCAATAAACCAATACTTTAACATTACTTAGATCTCAAAGACTGACACCTTAAATGAGATAGACACGTAGATCTTTCTGCTTCACTGGAAAGACAGACTAAATTATAAAAACGATCACAAACTCCAAAAGATGCCTTCAGTTTAGTCTACTCCAGCTTTGTGCATCAGCTTCAGACAATACTATGAACAACTTTTAAAAAGATTCTCTAATTTTCTGGAATTCATACCCACTGACCTATGACTGTCTTCTAGAAGTTCTGGCTCCAGATCCAGACTCTGACACTCTTCCTTAAGTAAACAAAATGAGTGGTCATCCATCAGACATCTGTCTCCAACTTGCGAAAAAACTATTTTTATTTCTGATTCACATATGCACATATATACCTGACACATGCAAACCTGAGACTCCAGCTTGTCCTTCTGATTACTTTAATGCGATTTTGAATAGATGGTTATCAGCACTCTTTCCTAAATCTAATACTGTGCCAACTTTAAAATACTGTCAGACCCTAGAAGTCCTGAGACTAGGAGGGAAAAACCCACAATTTAATTTATATTTATTTTCCTCACAGTCTGAGATTCAAATCTATAATTTTTCTCCCTTGCAACTATGAGACGTAGGTATTATCTTTCTTCTTGTGAAAGCTGAGATTAAAATAACCTTAGGTAGCTTTAGAAGGAACAGCATATAACACAAGTTGACAGTGCTTAATCTTCTTGATGCTGGCTATGCAGAGGCACTCTAAGAAACAGGAAGCAGACTGCAGGGCTCAGCAGCACATGGTTTTGGTGATACTAGTGAAAAATGGAGAAAACACTCCATTGGTATTTTCAATCGTATTCTACAATTGAGAAAATCATAGAAGGGAAGGGATCCACAAGAATCATTGAGTCCTACTCCCAGTCCTGCACAGGAGAGCCCCAAGAGTCACCACGAGCCTGAGAGCATGGTTCAAACACTTCTCGAACTCTGATAGACTTGGTGCTGAGACCACTTCCCTGGGGAGCAGTCATAGCTAGAGATTTTAGTATTTGTATTTTAGTTCTTGAAGATTCTGTCAGGCCATACGTAACTGCTTGGGATAAGACATATTATGCAGAAGTACACTACTTTTTTTTTCTTTTTTTCATGATTCTATTACTTAAACAAATCCTTTTTTCCCCATGCAATTTGCTTTATGTGCAAGTTTACTTAAAAGTAATTGAAAATACAAAGGTGAAAAAACAAGGAAGTCAGGACTTTCCAGAAATCAAGAGGTCCCCTTCCTTACATGATGAGAAGCAAAATGTGCTCTTAGATTTCTAACTTCCCGCCTCCTAATCTACCCTGCAAGGGTTAGCAACCTAGACAATGACCAGGCAAAGAAGAGGACACAGCAAATCCTTACTGATCCAGAAATTGGGGATCCTGTGGGTGCAAAGGGAATCCTTAAGTCCTGATACAAGTTAACTGAAGCCAACAGGCCTACCAATCCATTAATTCATAAAGCAAACAGTTTTGGGTTTTTTGTTAATTTTTCCAGAGCAACACTCACCAGCACACTTGGTCCTGGTGATCAGTGGTGGTCCTGGCTGCCCTGTCCCACCTTCTCCTGGTCTGGTGAGCAGGACCCGAATCTCATATTCGGTGTCGGGGTCCAGGTGCCAGAGCTTGTAGGTCGGTGCATTGACAGCATGGGTCTCGGTCCACGTCCCGGACGTCATCCGGTACTCCACTTCTTTCAGGATAATGGGGCCGTCCCCAATGATCGAGTTGGCATTCAGCTGGATGAGCAAGTACGTGGGCCCAACGCCCAGCAGCTGCGGGGGTGCTATTGGCCGAGGCGGCTCTGCAGGGGAGACAAGAAATAAGCCAGCGATAAAACAAAAGCTGGAAAACCCACGAAGATGAGGGCTGTCTACACAGGAAGTTGTCAGAGTTTGGTCAGCAAAGATTCCAAACCTCAGAAACAAATTCAAACTGACATCAACGAAGAAGAGCTGAGGAGAATTTCAGCTGATGGAAGTGAACGGTGCACTACTGGGATCTGCTCAACGCTATATTTTCCTTTTTAAAATCTCAGCTAGAGACCACAAAATCCTGTCTGATTTATACATTGTTGCTGCTTGAGATTTTTTCTGAAAAAACTATGCTCATTTATATAATTTACTATACCAATAACTTGAGATTTTTTTTTTATTGACTGAAGTCACATTTGCACTTTCCTTATAGAAAGAACTGCAATAGATGATACACAACCCCTGCACAGAATATTCTTAAAAATGAGTATCACTGCAGTTAATCTGAAACCCACTGGATGCATTTAGGGAAAAGGATACAGATGCCTATTACAGGCATTCAGAATACTCAGAACTGAGCAAAGCTGCCAGAAGAATGACAAAATAAAGACATATGGCAACAACATATAATATTTTATTCTTTAGTAAGTTACTACTGATTTTGAAACTTGAACAATAGGATGTGTGCTGCCTTTTGTCATCCTCTCTTCTCATCAGCTTCTGCCTGCCTACATATTTCAATTCAGCTGCAATGTGTAAAAGGTAATGACAGCCCAAACAGGAAGGGGTGGTCCCCCCTACCCTGAGAAATGTTAACATAGAAGTTATTGCCTCAGCATGATTTATTTTAAGAAACAATCACAAGCAACAAGTATTTTTCTAATAAAATGAATTCACTGATAAACATGGAAGGTTCATTTTCATTCCAGATGGCTCATATTTCAGCTAATTTGTTACAGTTAATTAGGCAACAATGCTAAATTCGGTACACACAGGGGTTTCACACAGCAGTGATGCAGAACTAACAAATCAGCAGCTCTGAGCAGGTAGAGGGGATCTTATGGCCAGAACATTAAAAATAACTTTTAACCCCAGACCATAATATTTCCCTAGCAGGGGACCCCTACATTCAGCACAATAGAAGTTAAGACACGGATGGATTGCACGTATTCTGCCTCCCAGGGGTGATCCCACCAGTGTCAATGACACAACACATGGTGGGGAGTGCTGGACCTCCTTTGACATCCCATCCTCCCTGCGTGGTGAAGTTCAGGTAATGACTCCCTGATTCTGCCTGCTTCTCTATTTCCAGCAGCAAATCATCCCTTCCAGGTACCACAGCTTGCTCCAAACAGTGTATTTACCAGCTCTATAAGCGACCAAGTTTCCCAGATTTTTGCACGTATCTTGCAGACTTTTTTCTAAATTGGCTGCTTCTCAAACCACTCAGTTTGGACACCAGGGAGTCTGTAGCCATGTCATAGTGGCTGTAATGGGAGCTGATTTTTTCCTCCCAGAGTGAAAAAGTGAATGCTCCAAGATATTTCCATTTCTGCTTCAGGATAAACAAAACTATAGAAAGTACCTCAATTCATTATTAATGTCTCCCCCTTCTTTGGCAATATATGTGCTTCTGAATTAATTTAGATCCCTACCTGCATCAAAGCTCAGAAATGCAGCTGGGCATAACGAGGGTAGTTTATTTGCTGTGGAGCTAACATATTAAATGTCAAACTAATGTATTCTAAGGTCAACATAGCAGAAAACATCATCATTGATGAGCATGATGCACTACCAGCTCCAAGTTATAAACTTCTAAAACATATGGCTATATTTAGAAGTATACACTTTGATTAAGAGTACAATTATCACAAATAAAATCTCATATGAATGAGACCATCATCTATTAAGTTTTTATGTTAAGAAGTAAAGCACATTCCTATATTAGCATACACATTTTGTTTTTAAGCTCTTGAGGCCAAGGAGACTTATTTATAAAGTCTCTCCCAGTTCCAATAAATTATGCATGAATTTTAATCAGTTAGCAAATGAACAAGTAATTGTTCTGCAGCATTATTAATATTCTTCATAATACAATATACTATCAGAACCAGAGGTGAGGTGCAACCAGAAATCCCAAAAGTACACTAAGTATCAACTGAAGCATGCAGTCCCAATATACCAGGATAAACTTTTCTGATGTTACCCAATTAGCTTTCTATTAATTATTCCCTTTCATTATTCTACAACCACATATCCAATTATAATTTGAAATCACAATTCCTTTTTGTATGTACAGCAACCTGAAACTTTTACAGTTTAAAAATTGCCATTGATAGCTGAAAAAGATAGAACAAAGACATTATTAAAGTTTTGGTTGCCATTCCCATAGAAAATATCGTACATATCAACAATACTTTTCTTTCAGTGAGTTTTAAAACACAATTTATGTCCTTCAAAGAAGTATATGTTGCTAGCTTTTTTTTACCCCAGCAATCTGGGTCCACCTGTAGTAAATAATCCAGTTTCAGAGTGCCCTGAGAAGACATTCTGCCAAAAATGAAAAACCTCTTATATGAGGCATGAAAAATAAAAGGAGATGCATGAAAAAGTGCCCTAAAGAAAATCACCCACTCAGAAGTTTGTTCTGGTTTATAAACAACATAAAAACTCAGCTTCAGCCAAACCAGATGATGGCTTAGATGTTCAGAGCCTGGATTAGAGGTAAAATTGTAGGAAGCTGAGGCTTACCAGGTACCCACCACTGCAGCTTCCCTCCTGCCTGGCCCTGTCAATGCCCTCCAATGCAGGTGGGCCCTACTCAGATGCATTTTTCAACTTCCAGTCACCCAGACCTAAAGCCAGGTGAGGCAGAACTGTGATGTCCCTTTGTCCTCTCTCTGTTCTGATCATTGCAACCCCACAGGAGAGCTGTGCCCTTCATTTCTGCCAAAAAGAACCCACCTTCCTTATGGGGAGATATGGCTAAGGCACACAGTATTCCTAGCAATCAACTTTACTTGAGCTCAGTTCCCCTTTTCTCAGCCATGAACTCTATGTGAAAAGCCATAAGGTTCTAAACAATAATTTCTGAAAATTATTACAAAAAAATATTTCAACCCATAGATGGTTTAACTCATCAGTAGAATCACAGTTTTAACAGGTATTTAAGAAACACTAAAAAGTTTGATCAAAGGCCGTGCATGGTGAGTTTAATTTCTTCCTTTGCTAAGCACAAAATTTAAGATTCCTTATCCAATGTAACTAGTTTAATTACTGATTCATTTTCTAATTATATCTTTAGCCAGTATATAAAAGTGTTAAATCTGATGAAATCCCTTCTAGTTTTCATGGCCACTAATATCTCAGAAAGACTATATTAAAAGACCACTCGTACATCTGCAAGACATAAATAAATTAAAGTGTTTCCATGCATAGCATGTTGCAGTATTTGGTCAGCTCTGGTTTTGACATAAAATGCCAACAGCTAAGGTAATAAAAAATTAAGACTGACATTTCATCAGTACTAAAATGCTCATTCTGCTAAGCTACTAGCAGTACATTATGCTCACATCACTATGTATGTGACATTGTACATTAAATGTAGTGTGATATTTAGGCACCGATGACTAGAATAAGCATGCAGCTTCAACCTGCTCTACCAGTCTTCCTACATTTAAGTAGTTGTATCATATTTTTAATATGAAACATTGTATGCAAATAATTATGCATTTACAGGCAAAAAAAAAAAGAAACAAAACCAGAAAAGGTCATTAGTGTTATTAATACAGTAACTAATATATATAAAATTTACAATATTCTCAAGTAAAATACTCTACTACATTGCCTTCCAAGATTAAACACTTCTTAAGTTAAAAACAAAGGAAGATAGTTTCGTTTGTATTTTACTGGCAATCATATACTGTTAATGATCAGTTCAAAGTGAAAAGTAAAAATAAACCAGAATTCTACATATTGTTCCATTTTGGAGGAAAAGCTGATACTGGATGCATGCCTGATAAAATCTTATTTTTAAATCTTATTGACAAGAGACATGTTTTGCTGAGCATGACATGTATCAGTCGCAAGAGACCCTTGCTGTGCAGCAGAAAGGTTTGGAGAGGTGGGGAGGAGAGGGCTGGTCACCACACTGCCCAGACAGTCAGAGCAGGTGCATGCCTTCATCCACTCTCATCCCACTCGTGCCTTGTACAGGACCTGCACACACTGATGATGTGCAGTAATAGCCTGCAAGTCCCCTCCACTCATGCACACACTGTGCCTTCCCTCTGGTCACAGCATGTTCAGCTTGCTCTGTGAAAGATCTCACACCACGCCATACACTTGGTGTGCTGAGGAGCATTAGCTGTTTAACCCAATACACACAACAAGGATAACCATAAAAAGCTTAATTTTTACAAGTGTAACAAAGCATTCATTCATTATAAGTACCCCGACATCAGCCTTGCCTCCCCAGAAATTAAAATTGATGTTTTAATTACACCATAAGCTAGTAAGACAGTAGGTCAAGCAAAAGAATACAAAGTTCCTTTAAAATTTGTCATAATTCAAAGAAACAGAAATATAAAGTCATGTATTAGCTGTATATACATAATACAGCTAGTACAGGATGTTCTAGGGAGTACAGCAAAGATGTCTCTACAAATGACTCAAGACTGACTCAGCTTCTACCTATATCAAATTCAGTTCCTCTTCTAGGGAAATTTCTTGCAAAGCTGTTTAAGCATGTCTGCATATTTCTTTCAAGCTCTCTGGTTTTCTGGTTTAATTCAGCTGAGGTTCAGTGCCTGACCCACCGTGGCTATGCATAGTTAGAGCACAATCTTTGCCATGTCCCCAGGCGTGTGACACCCAGGTGATCTGAGACACCCAAGGCACAGAGGGGTAAGGGGTAAATCCCTGCTTGCTGGACCTGTGGAGAAGTGTGCCTCTGCACTGGGCTCCAGATTGCACGTGGAGATATCATGGCACAGTTGCACCAGAAGACCCATGGCATGGGAGCAGAACTGCATGGGGAAGCAGACTGGCA